TTGTTCAAAAAATCTCTAAATTTACACATTTCACGGTTAGTGTCTTGATGAAAAGTTAATTTTTTTCGAAAATATGGGGAGTCTATCAAGATAAAAACTCCTAAAAATGTTTTTTTGAGGTACTTGTCGAACAAAAGTAACAGTTCCTATGGATTTCGGCATTGTTTGTATAATTTGAATGGTTTTAGTGTTATAAAAAGCGCTGATTTGAATGAAAAAAGATAAATATTCCGCATTTAGTTTGTTTTTATTCAATACTAGGAACTCAAATGGAAAATTGTGTTGATACATTTTCGTGTGATTCGACATTGTAGTCTGCTTTTGTGTTGAAGCTAGGATTTTTTTCACGTGAGTACAGCGTGTTAAAAATGAAACCGTTTCTCGCTTCCTCGCCGCAAACATTTTTCGAAGCTTTTGTCATCTCCTTGACAGCTCGTTCAACTGATTGTGTGTGTAAAGGAATTTGTGCTAAAAATGCACCAAACTCATGGGAAAGTATTCGCTGACTGGCGAATTGGTCGGTATCGTCGGGTGTGAATGAGATATCTCTCAATATCGGTGGATTGGTGTGGTTTTGTCTTCCGATGTCACCAATCAAATCGGTGTAATCATTACACTTGAAATTGAGTATTGGCACTCTGAACTTTCGTACGTCATCATCTGGAGTTTCGCGATCTCTGGCATCCAATATCAATTGCCAACCTTTACGTCAGCGATTTGATCTTTCCCTCTATCAAATTCGGCTTTATGACTTGATTCATTGAAGAGTCAATGTCGGTTCTGTGGAGGTTCAGATAATATGAGAGAACAAACGACTCCGTTGAGGAGAGGCCTAAGCGTGTGTTCTCGTACACGCCGAGAATCGAACCTTTGTCAAACCTAGGGATAACAATTATTATTATAGGGACCTTTTTGCATTTACAACAAAACTCCACTAAGTAGACTTTTTGCATTTTTATCAAAACTCTTCTTAGCAGAGCTGTTATAGGCACCCAATCGGTGCCGGCACTTAGATTTTGAGTGCCGCACCTAGTGCAATCACAAAAAATAAATTTCGATAATTTATAATTTCATATTTTTTTCAGCAATACAAAATCATATTATTTCTTTAAAACCATAGCAAATTTGAAAATTTTCAAAAATACTCAAGAATTATACTTTCAAAAAGAGCTCGATGCCGTACCGATTCAAGTGCCCGAACTTTTGCAGTGCCTATAACAGCTCTGCTTCTTAGTAGACTTTTTGTTTCAATCAAAAAAGTTCCCTAAATTACTTACCACCATTCGGCGAACGTCAAGCAAAAGACGGCGTGTCCGACGACACTACCTGGCCCATAAGGAACACTTACGGCTCGGCGTAGAGTACCATAGTCTTGACCAAGTCGGTCCGGCAATGGATCACCAAATTCGTCGACTTCACGATCACCCACATCAGCACTTGGTTGTGAACCACCACTTACAAAACGCACTAAACCGCGTCCGCGTCCACCACGTGCGGCACGTTCACGTGCACCACGACCACGAGCACCCATTGTTTTTATTGTTTTTTGTCTTTTTTTTTTAACTTTTTTGATTTGGAAATCACTATTTTTTTCACTTTTATTTTCACTTTTATTTCCACTTAGACGATGTACATGTGCACAGTTTGATGACAAGTCGAAGAACTGCAAATGTCTACTTGAAATGTTCGAATTTCGGATGCGTCTAATGAAATGTCACCTCACACCTCACATAACCTTACTTCCCAAAACCACGTTTTTGATGAGTAGGCTTTTTGCAAAATTAATAAAAGTCTACTCATCAAAAACGTGGTTTTGGGAAGTAAGGTTATGTGAGGTGTGAGGTGACATTTCATTAGACGCATCCAAAATTCGAGCATTCAACAGATAGTAATGTTGAAAGGTGATCCTCCAAGTTCTGATTTTTCTCCAAGGAATTTAATCAATAATTCAGACTGAAATTCCTTGCATTTTTCACGCTACACTCAAACCGTTCTCCCTACAAATTTTGAGTTATTCACTCCAAATAGGAGTAATACACAATACACTCCATATCGGAGTATATGTTTGTATGAGTGTATTCCATTGTGGTGTATATTCTATCAAATAAAAAAACTTCTTTCGAAGTAATTCCTCGTGACGAAAGCGAACACAAAACAGCTGATATCAATTTTAAAAAATCATTACGGAGCGATTCTGAAATTAGTTGGAAGAATGCAAAAAAAGTAAATCCAAATCACTCCGAAATGATTTTTTAAAATTGATATCAGCTGTTTTGTGTTCGCTTTCGTCACGAGGAATTACTTCGAAAGAAGTTTTTTTATTTGATATCAGTTGTTTTGTACCAAAAAAATTTTTTTTCAACAAAACCAATTAGATGAAATTAGTTGCTTTACGCATAAAACCAGAGATTGTGTATTGGCTGCTGAGCAGGCCTGAGCTGAGCTAAATTTGCTAACTCAGGCGCCTGAAGCGTTATTTTAACGCATTCGCGGTGGGATGATAACGCAATCACGGTGAGATGTTGTCACGTATCTTCCCGTGGATCTTTGATATCAGTGACAACATCTCACCGTGATTGCATTATCATCCCACCGCGAATGCGTTAAATAGCTCAGCTCAGGCCTACTCAGCAGCAAATACACAATCTCTGCATAACACCATTATTGTCGCCTCATTCAATAAAGTAAAATTAGCGCGTCGATAGAAAGACAGACTTATCACCGAGTGGACTCGAGTTCGAGTCACACAACGGACGAACATTTTTTTTCGTTTTTCCATGTTGTCGCATAAAAAATAATTTTTTTTTTCTACTTATTTATGCGAAAAAAATCTTATTACAATTGTGTTATATAGATAATCATATTAACATTTTCATTTATTTTCAATATTGTATATTTATTCACTCTTGCGTACTGTATAAAGTTCGCTTTGATTCTAGTTTTAATTAATTTAAGAATAATACTAGGGGAAAGTGGGGAATTGCTTACCACGATCTTTGTGGCCAAGTAAAAATTCTCAAAATCAAATGTTTTTCAAAATTTCAACATGCAAAGTTGTAGTACGCCTTTAAAGCTTTCATTTGATACTAACTGTTTGTTCAAATTCAATCCTGTGAAAAAAAATATACCCCTCCTTCCAAAACATACGATTTTGACAATTTCAAAAATCATGGGGAATTGCTTACCACTTTCAAATTCGATTTAGTATGCAAAATAATGATGAAGAAACTTTATTGAATGATTTTTAAAGACATAATGGATTATATCTTAAAGAAAAAAAACGAAAAATGGCGACTTTGATCATTCCGATTCACAGTTGGGGCATGTGAAATAGCTGCCAGTCATACGAACGCATTTCAGGTGAACGGGTCGATCGCACGTGTTGCAATTGATGCTGTTGTTTCGATTCAATTTTTTCGGCAGATTTTTCATGCATATGATACAGAAATCAATGTCTTCCTCTTCGCTCGTTGAGGACTCGTTGAGGCGTCGTTGCCGCTTTCGTGCTGGAGTTGACGATGCCGGAGTTTTACGTTTTTTCGGTTGATATTTTCGTTGCTTTTCCAATTTTTCACGCTTCGCATCAGCTTTCTTTTGTAATTTTTCCACAACTTCAGGCGATGTTAAAATGGCTGTCGTCATTGGTTTTGGGCCTCGATTGGATTTTTTAGCTGGTGTACCTTTTTGAACTGGTCCAACTGCATTTAATGCGTCACGAAGATCTGCAGCAGATAGGTTCCCCATGGATGTGGTTGCCGATGTACTTGCCACTTCAGAAGCTCCCGAAGTTGACACTTCTTCATGTGCTCCGATATCTTCTGGAGATAAAACCACAATTCGACGACGATCTTCTTCATCTACATCGTTTTCTTCCTCTTCGAATGATTGGCTTTCACCACTAAATTTAGCAGCAAGAAAATCCACTTCGGTGAACGTGTTACTATCAAGTGGATATATGCCTGTTGTTTTGAAAGCACTTTTGATGTTTTTTCGGGTAGCGCACAAGTCCAAGCATTGATCAGCAATAAGAGGGACGTGGTGTAGGTCAAAGGCAACCGTGGCATTCGAATTCTTCCATTCCTGACACATTTTTGTGTACATGGTCTTCATTGGACCAAAAACCCCAACATCCAACGGCTGCATGCGATGAGTGCAGTGTGGCGGAAATGACAACATTGTAATGTCATGCTTAATGGCTTTATCGATTGCTTCGACAGACAAATGTGAAGTATGGTTGTCGAGCAGCAGGAGCGTTGGTGAACCTTTCTTAGCACCAGTGAACTTAATGAAATGATCCATGTACGTGTTGAATTCGACAGATGTCATGTATCCGCTGCCGTTCGCAAAACCAACTGCATCATTACTTGCATGTGTCATGTATGTTCCGCTCATCTTCTTTCTCGGAAAGAGATAGAATGCTGGAATTGTTTGACCAGTGGCGCTAATCGACAAAGCCATAGTGACATTCGTGCCTCTTTCAGCAGATGTTGCTGTTCCAACACGTTTCTTTCCTTTTGGTGCTACCACTTTAACAACCTTATGCGGTACAGTTGGGAACCCAGCCTCGTCCATGTTCCAAATTCGATGTGGTTCAAATTTGATGGCCGACATAACCGCGCTCAAATTTTTAGAAAATGCGTCGACGTTTTCTTTGTTGAATGATTTTGCACGATTTAGACTGGTCTGCTCAGGTGTACGCAACGATAGATTCTTGTGACGGTTCATAAATGCATAATACCAATCAGTGCTGGCTTGTTGATTCTCATCCCACGCCGCTGGATATTTAACTTGAATCACTCTGGCATATTGGTATGCCATTCTCTTGAGCTCTGTAATGCTCAAACCATAATAAACATTGCTAGCAGCAATCAAGTAATTCATCAATTCCTTTTCTTGCGCCGCACTGAATATCTGAAATAAGAATGATTTGATTGTTAGATTTATTCAAAGAAATGTTTTATTTTTAAATCACTTACTGGTTTTGCACCCGGTGTAGAATTTCCAGCAAGAAATTCCACCAATACCTTATCATCGACACTTGAAACGTCCAAATTTGCATCATCCAAAATCTTAACGTAGCGCGACAAGGTAACATGATTAGTGCCAATTCGTTCAGCCACAGAACGGAGTGAGTGTTTGTGTATTTTCACTCTTTGATCCCTTCCAAAAGAGCGTCGAAATCCATTGATGAGTCTTTGTTGGCATAATAACACGGCATCGGTGGCATGGGCGGCATGATTACTTTAAAATTTCAAAAAACCACAAAAAAGTTGAAAAAATAGCAAAAAACACTTTAAAAAATGTCATCAAAATATATTTTGTGGATAATTTGTCGATATTTTGCATCAAAAAAACATTATATGTACATAAAATGCGATTTTGACACGTGCAATGCAAGAAATGCCGTGGTAAGCAATTCCCCACAAAAAGTGGTAAGCAATTCCCCAAACATATATGTTGAGAAAATGGCGTCGCATAAGCAATATGCATACAATGACTATGCAATATTGTTTTGCGTGTTGTTAGAGCATTGGCACACAAGAAAAATTAGAATATTTACCTGGCAAATTTCTGCATAAAACTTCTTAGAAATATCACCAACAAAAAAAATTATTTTGATTTTTGGAAATAAAAATTCACTTGGTTCCCGCACAGAGCATACAATGCGTCCAATCACGTCGACTACTAATTAGAAATTGAGTTTAGGCTAAGAAAAGACGATGACAAGCATCGGATGTGTCAAATGTATTCGAAACGTCAAAAAACTGACGTGGTAGGCAATTCCCCATGGTAAGCAATTCCCCACTTTCCCCTATCTTTTGTGCTACAATAGCAAAAACAATAAGGTGATTTCAAACGAAATTTCGATTTTGTGTTTTCAAATATATAATACTTATTACGCCCTTGAATTTGATCGAGCACACACACACAGTCTGAGTGACCGATTCAAATATGCCGGATGGAATCTTGATATCTCTGAGGACAATTATTACCAAGTTGCCATTGTAGTAATCATCACCGGAGAGAAGTTTACGTGCTTTTTTGTAGTGTGGTGCCCTCGTTGAAATAGTGCCACGAGTAAACATTTTATGTAAATTTTGTTGATGTCTAGGGATTCTGCTTGTTCCCATCACTTTTCGCCAACTTCTACTATACTTTTTACATCCACTTCCACCTAAGTACATCTCAAATTGGTCGGTATAACGCCATTCATATCCAATTGACTCCGTGTCTTTGTACTCTTTGGCATACATTTTGGCGAGCTCAAGATATAACCGATAGCCGTCTTGATTCACCACATTTTCCGTCTTTATCTTTGCAATATGAACGGGTATTCGATATTCTTTTCGACCTGTAAACAATTCAAAATATACTGCATTAAAAAAAATTCTGTTTAACGAAATGAAATACACTTGCTCAAAAAAATCTCCTTCTCTCGTTGTCGGACATTTTTGAGTGAGTAATTGTTAATCACTTACCGGCTGGTACATGACGTACGGCCGATTGACTCGGGGCTGTGTTGGTGTTGTCGGTATTGTTCTTGTTGTATGTGACAGGAGAAGGTGGCAGCACATCAGTGCCGAGTTAACCAAATTTGGTGCCCGAGGCAAAAATGATTTTGGTGCCCCTTGCAATTTTTCCCGTTATATATACAAATAATTATTGATAAAATGAACGTACATATCGAATGCGAGCGGCAGCGAGCAATTTTTTTTTTAGAAATACCATTTTTGGGGGTTAAACCAAAAATCGTCCTAAAACATACAAAAACCGTACTAAATTTTCCGAAAATCGTACTCAACTTTCCGAAAATCCTTCTAAATTTTCCGAAAATCGTACTAAAGTTTCACAAAAATCGTACTAAAAAATCACACAAACTACGTGAAAAGTTACAAAAATCGTACTAATTTTTTTTCCAAAAATCGTACTAAACTTTCCGAAAATCGTACTAAATTTTCCGAAAATCTTACTAACTTTTCACACAAATTTCATCTGTTTTTTTACCCATAAGACCATGTCAACTCATTTTTTTCCAACTTGAAATAGGTGTCATTTGATAGCTGGCCCCAAACTCTTTCCAACGATACCCAAAAGTCTGGAATTGATTAACTGGTTTTGGCACAGTGACCATTGGAAGGGAAGCCATTTTTTGATTTTTCAAAGGCCGGTCAAGGCTAAGATGGCCCGTGTACTATGGCAGTTTGATACAATCCACGCCTAGAGAGCCAATGTAGTTTTTCACTCACTCAAAACGCAGTGGAAATTAAAGCCGTTTTTTTATTTTGCAAAGGCCGGCCAAAGATGGTACAAATCAAAAAGTGGCGGAACAAAAAAGTCTAAATTTTGTATATACTACAATGCCTGGAAGTTTGAAAAAGATCGGACAGACAGATACACACACACACAGAGACACAGACAAAACGATTATCTCAGAATAGTGGTGGGAAAAACTAAGAATTCCTCTCAATTTTCAAATGAGATGATATTTCTGTGGAGGCGGTTGGCCGATTCACAAGTTTGAATGCATTTTCTGGGCCTATGAGCCAGGGGCTTTCTAGCGATACTTCATTCATATCAGATGCCCACTTCGAAAAAAATGTTTCGAAATTGCGTGTATATATAGGTGAGTTAGACTTTCAGCACTAGGGTGCTGTGATTTAAAACTCACGTCGAGACCAGAAAAAGTCATACTAAAAAGTCACACATAGTTACATAGTTTAAGTTTTTCATGGCTAATTGATACATTTATTTAACGGCTTTAATTTCCACTGCGTTTTGAGTGAGTGAAAAACTACATTGGCTCTCTAGGCGTGGATTGTATCAAACTGCCATAGTACACGGGCCATCTTAGCCTTGACCGGCCTTTGAAAAATCAAAAAATGGCTTCCCTTCCAATGGTCACTGTGCCAAAACCAGTCAATCAATTCCAGACTTTTGGGTATCGTTGGAAAGAGTTTGGGGCCAGCTATCAAATGACACCTATTTCAAATGAAAAAAAAAATGAGTTGGTCTTATGGGTAAAAAAAAAGATGAAATTTGTGTGAAAAGTTAGTACGATTTTCGGAAAATTTAGTACGATTTTCGGAAAATTTAGTAGGATTTTCGGAAAGTTGAGTACGATTTTCGGAAAATTTAGTACGGTTTTTGTATGTTTTAGGACGATTTTTGGTTTACCCTTTTTGGGGCACCAAAAACATTTTTGGGCCCATTTTTGGCTGCGTGTTTTCTTTTTCAGATTATAAAAAAAAATCCCATGCTTGTGGTGCCCCCAAGAACGTGGTGCCCGAGGCAACTGCCTCATTTGCCATATGGCTAACTCGGCACTGCAGCTTACAGCTGTCAAAAATCGGTATTTTATTAATATGTTAATAAACAACATATTTTAATAATTAATAAAAATTTTGAAACACCATATTTATTAACGTTAATAAATATAGAGCATTTTATTAACATATTAATAATTATTAGTATGGTGAATTTTCGGTTATTAATATGGTGTAGATTTTATTAAAATGTTAATAAAATGTGGTTATTAATATGTTGTCGATTTTATTAGAATTCTAATAAAATTGACAACATATTAATAACGATATTTTATTAGAATTTTAATAAAATCGACAATTTTTTTATTAGAATTTTAATAAAATGTGGTTATTAATATGGTGCCGATCTTATTAGAATTCTAAAAAATTTGACAACATATTGGATTTCATCCGATTTTATCAACGGACGACATCATGTTCACATCAAAGTCTATTCAACACAGCGTTTAGATTAAGACAATCATTTATCACGACAAAATCTCAAAGAAAAACGAGTCTGGAAATATTCGACATGTTTTTGTATGAAACTTTTCTTCACAATTTTTTTTAAAAGTTTCATATAAAATTCATGTCAGTTTTTGCCAGACAACAAAATCTCGATGAAAAATGAGTCTGGAAATATTTGACAGTTTTTTTGTATGAAACTTTTCAAGAAAATTCCGAAGAAAAGTTCCATACAAAAAACATGTCAAATATTTCCAGACTCATTTTACATCGAGATTTTGTCGTCTGGCAAAAACTGACATGAATTTTATATGAAACTTTTCAAAAAAATTGTGAAGGAAAGTTTCATACAAAAAACATGTCGAATATTTCCAGACTCGTTTTTCTTTGAGATTTCGTCGTGATAAATGATTGTCATAATCTAAACGCTGTGTTGAATAGACTTTGATGTGAACATGATGTCGTCCGTTGATAAAATCGGATGAAATCCAATATGTTGTCGAATTTATTAGAATTCTAATAAAATCGGCACCATATTAATAACCACATTTTATTAAAATTCTAATAAAAA